ATTAATTAATTATATATATATATATATATATATATATATATATATATATATTATAACATTGAAAACAAATAAACTTACCGACATAACTCCGTTTATGATCTGTTTTGCTATTAATTTCAATAATTTTTTCTCCTGAATCGATCGAAATGAATTCGCGGATTCATTTTCACTGCTTGTAATTTTTCCATAAACTCATTAAAATAATTACTAATAATAGATTTATTTACATGTAGATTGATCAATATCGTATCATTTTTAATCGACATCGATCCTTGAATGGGTAAGGAAGAAAAACTTCTTCCTACAAGCAGCAAGATCGCAATAATACTAATAATCATCATGTCGCGGTGAAACTGAAGCAAGTTGCAGATTTGCTTGATGATTTTATCGAATCACTCAGACGGCAATATTATCTTTTGTCCGGCATATCGCGATCTAACGAGAATAAAGAATCGCACAGTGGTGCCTGAGAGAGATTTCACAGACAAGATTTAACAGCTTTTCAATTGTTTCGATAAATTAAGCATAGATTGGATTAATAGATTTCTTATTGCTTAATTTACAATTTTTTGTTGCATAGGTGTATGGATATATAGCGATACATTCGTATTTATTGATATTAGTTGCGGCAATTTTTTAATAGATGTATTAGGTTTACGAACCACTGTGTGTATACTAGTCCCCGTTAATCATTCCCGGCAAAGAGTTATGTCCCCGCAAATTTAATGATCGAAATAGCGAGATTGTGACCAGCGCTTTAATAACGAATCGAACTGGCCATCCGCACAAGACTAATTACAATTTGCGAGCAAAACCATAAACGCCATTGTTCTTCAATGAAGTGCAAACTATGAATAAATAAGTAGCCACCGAGAATTTCAAAACCAAATCAATATGCAAAACTCACATTAGAAAATTGTGTATTTGCCGTGAGGCTAAATAAGAATATTTTCGCAACCTTTTTCCACATTGCTGTTTAAAATTGCTTAGTCATGGCATAATTAATATTGTACAAATGATGTCATATTTGTGATCGAACAGTCATGCTTCTTGCCTAAGCATATTATATAATTTTGCAAAATACCAAGCCGCGTAAAAAATGTTGTCCTTTTTTTTTTAAAGCATTTTATTTACCTTAATATAACTCCTACACATTTGTTTTTATGGAATTGCAATCTTTTGCATTCAAATCTAGTTGCTATTATGTATTCATTAACGCAGCATTAAAATGGTAAACCGTGAAACGAGAATTCGCTCAGTATTATTTTATGAGTTTCAACTCGAGCTCAAAGCCACAGAAGCGGCCAGTAAAATACGACAGGTGTGGAGAAAACGTCATTTCCGAGCGGAAAGCACAATTCTGATTCGGCAAATTTCGTTCGGGATATGAATTCCTCTTAGATAACGAATAAACTTCAAGAGTTAATCGAGTCCGATCGACGCCAAACCTGTTTAGAATTGACGTCTAAACTCAATATATCAAATACTGCTCGCCAGGAATTACCTTCATCATATAAAAATTGCAGTGAGGTAAACAAGACGCTTTGAAGGAAAAAAACGACAGGACTTTTTGCGGAACCAAATACCTTCTTATTCTTCTTTTTTCTCTATACATTTATTTTCTGATTACATCTAATTACATCTTTTTTTACTGTACCAAACAGATATGGATTGCTGGGGCCCAGCGGATGCGGCAAAACCACGTTGTTGTCTTGCGTCGTTGGAGTCCGACGTCTCAACAGCGGCGAGGTGTGGGTTCTGGGAGGAAATCCAGGTAGCAAAGGTTCCGGAATACCCGGACCCCGAGTGGGTTACATGCCGCAAGAGATCTCCTTGGTCGGAGAGTTTACCATGAGCGATGCCCTCTACTACTTCGGCAGAATTAATGGGCTCGAAGATGAAGAAATCGGTAAGATGAGAACCGGAAAAATATCAAGATTATTGCATAAGAATCATGGCATTCCGCATCTGTTTTTTCTAAACGATCTGCATATCCTGTTTTGTTCGCATAATGTAGGTCATTTGGAAATAACTGCAATTTTTTGTTTCTAAGACACAAGACAGGGGTTTCTCTCGGAATTACTGCAGTTACCCCCGTCAAATCGTTTGGTAAAAAATATGAGTGGCGGCCAGCAGAGAAGAGTTTCATTCGCTGCCGCCTTGATCCACAGGCCCGAACTTCTGATTCTGGACGAACCCACTGTGGGGCTGGATCCAATTCTAAGGGAGAAGCAAGTAGATTATGCTTTTTCTTTAGACGCAATAAATCGAAAAAGATGAAAGTGTTTGAATATGCATTTTGGTTGCAGCATTTGGGACTACATGATAAGGATCACGCAAGAGGAGGGCGTTACCATATTGATTACGACGCACTATATCGAGGAAGCTAAGGATGCTGATAAGGTAAGTCTCATTTTAATTAAATCCCATTATTTTTATTAATAGCAGAACTGCGGAAAAATATTTTATGCATGTGAAGAAACCAATTTTTTTTACTCGATAATACAAATCCAAATTTAATAGTAAAACTATATTTTTTACGCATACAGATCGGTTTGATAAGATGTGGTCGATTGTTGACGGAATCATCACCAGAGCAATTATTGGATCGATTTCAATGCTCATCTTTGGAAGAGGCTTTCTTGATAATGAGTCAGACACAAGAAAATATTGCAGTTACAAGTATTACTAAGGCTTACGGATCCAAAGCAGAAGATACTGAAAGCGACGTTTCATGTCGAGATAAATGTAGACGAACAAAGGTAAATATAAAATGAGTTGCTCTGTTCTTATTATTATATTATTATAAGATATGATATAAATCGATATCATTTTACAATACAAACATTTTACTGTACAAACAAATCAGCTAGTTAAAGATGAAGCAGCATATAAAACAAATGCGAAATATAAGGTTTCACGATTGAAAACATTCAACGCTTTAATGAAGAAAAACATGATTCAATTTTTACGTTATTACTCGTAAGTATTCACTAACATTTTTACTAATTAACTTTTTGTATTAAAAAATGGATTTAAAGATCTCCGATTGTTCTTATTCTAAATTTTTCTATTTTTAATATATTATTTTACTATTTTTACTATTTTTAATTATAATATTAAATTGTTACACACACATATATATATATACATAAAATATTTTTTTTAACATTTCAACAATCAAATTTGCACAATTTTTTTATAAAAATAATAATTAAAAATATTTTTTTAGAGGACTAGTTTTTGCGTTTATCTTTCCGATACTACAAATCAGTACGTTTTTTGCCGCTATCGGTGACAATCCGAAAAATTTAACAATTGCGATTGTTAATGACGAAGCTGGCAACTGTAATTACGGCAGTAACTTCGGTAATGTCTGGTACGACAAGGAGGATTTTATGTGTCACTTTGGCAATCTCAGCTGTAAATTTTTGCACAGTTTTGACGATTCTCTCGTAATAAAGGTACGACAATTTAAAAATTAATATTGTAAATTGGCATAAATATTATTTTAATACGTTTTTTTAAGTAAGGAAATGTTATTATTACTAATATTTTAGAAATATTATGATAATTTTTCCGATGCAATGACTGGCGTGCACAATGGATCCCATGTTGGTATGATATATTTTAACCAAAACTTTTCCGAAGCTATGCAGGAACGAGTAGAATACTTTATTAATGTTGAGGAAGCCAATATTCTCGCCAGTGAGATTAAAGTTGACCTCGACATGAGTAGTATGTATATACATTACACAAAGAATTTTATATCAAGTTTAAGAAATTTTGATTTCTTAAAGAAATTATTTTAAATAAAATATTAAGATATATATAAAGAAATTCAAAATATATATTAAGATCCAAAACTATTTCAAATTTTAAAAATCTTAGTTAAACATGCAGCTTAATTAATGGTTCAACGTTAACGGAGTAACAAATATTTAAATTTCCAATGATATTTGTTACAGGTATAGCAATCGGGTCTTATTTGCAGAGAGAGCTATATGATAGTTTTGACGAATTTTTTAAAGATACGATGAAAATCTGTGGATTTTCACAAAGATTCGCCTCTTTGCCTATTCGAGTAAATTGTTTTATTATGTTTGGTCATAATTTATTATATAAGATAAACAAAATAAGAAAATAAATCTCTGATTTCTTTATTTCAGTTCGAAGATCCGATTTATGGTTCGAAAGACATCACGTATAAACGCTTCATGGCACCAAGCTTGATACTTATGTAAGTAATCTAGGCTAAACAATATAATTGGTTGTTTTTGTTAAACCATTAATGCTTTTTCAGACTTGTCTTTTTTTTGGCCACCACACTCTCCACCGCTCTAATAATTACAGATCGATCGGAGGGTGTGTGGAACCGGAGTCTGGTTCAAGGTAATTTGGTTTTTTAATTATTACTTTTCCATGTGTTTCTCATCATAATAATTACATAAATATAAATATATGATATAGGTGTCGGTACTGTGGAAATCTTACTGGCTCACGTTCTTACTCAGATTATCCTTGTATTTATTCATAGCACATTGATAATGTGCTTTAGTTTTCTTGTATGGAATCTAAAAACTAAAGGATCGATATTCGACGTTATCTGTATTGTATATCTTAGTGGTTTCAGCGGACTGATGTGGGGTAAATATTTCACACAATATCTCAAAAAAGCTAGTAGCAACAATTAAGAAATTGGTAAAAATTATATTAATTACTAATGTTGATATATTTTCAGGTTTTTTGATCTCTGTCATGTGCACAAATCATACTGTGGCACATTATATTTCAACTGGAAGTTTTATGCCGATTGTACTACTGGGCGGCAAGTCTCTTTTTTTCTTTATTTAGAAAATAACACTTTATTTTAACTTAATATTGTCAAATTAGTTATTTCTCAAACTTTTAAATTCTTATCTTATGTGACATCCCTTATATACATGTATATATACATATATATGTATATACATAAAATTAATATATATAGTTGTACATACACATACATACTTACATATATATATACATATATATAAGGGATGTTTTAATCAAACTCAACTATCTCATAAACGATAGGTTTTATGAAAAAATTATCGAATGTATAGGATTATTATCCATGAAACATTATAAGGAAATTAACAATCTTCAATGTACTGAGATAGTACTGAGATGGTACTGAAACCCGTTCTCTTATATTTAGAACACGTCTCAAGGTTTCCACCTACCCGTATTATTACGCGCGCGCGCACACATGACATACACACATACACATACACACACAAACGCATTTAAATATGGAATCAAGTAAGTATCATATCCATGTTCTTCATCTTGGATAACATCAAGGGCATGTATATTTTTAACCCTTTGTACTCCAACTACTCTTCTCAGGCATAGGCATTACCAAACCTGGAAGGTATTCTTTCAATAATTCGAACGTAAAACTTATGTTTTAAAATAATTTTAGGATTATTATTTACATTAAAATACAATTATTATTTTATATGGAAATGCGCAACACAAGTTAATAAGTAAGAATTGTTGGCGTGAAAAGTTGGATCGCAAAGAGCTAAAAATATTTTAGAAACTGTGGATAAAAAAATGTTTAAAATTTATAGGGTTGTTCATAAAAATTAAGAATCTGCTCGAAATCTATCGAAATCATATAGATCCATTTACAAAAGACAAATTTGATTTTTGAATAACCTTACTATTGAAAAATTAGAACCTTCTTTTTGCTCTCGTCAAACCATATAACTTTTGCTTAATTTTTTTATAAATCTTACTATTTACAAAATATTTGGGTGATTTGATTAAATATTAGAGAACACAAAGTATTCTATATTATTTTAATTTTATTTTATTTTTAATTTTTTAATTCTTGATAATAATATATACGAATATATACATGAGTCACCTTGTACATACATTTATCAAACTTAATATTAACGAGATCTTTTTAATAAGAAATTGTTCAGTTATATTAATTTAATTTTTACTGTAATTTATTTATATAATTAATTATATATTAATAATAATATAAACTCTAATTAATTTATACAAATGACAGGATGTTTATGGCCGGTAGAAGGATCGCCAGAAATAGTCCGCTGGATCAGTTATGCTTTGCCGACAACCGTGCCCGCCATATCTCTGAGAGCAGTTATAGAAAAGGGTCTTTCCATGCACGAGTTGGAAGTTTACAGTGGCGTACTAGTAGAACTAGCATGGATAATTCTACTGTTCCTTGGTTGCTTAAGCGGCCTAAAATTCAAATCTTCGTGACATTTAGAAATTAGAAAGAATTTATTTGAAAAGAAACAGGAACGCATACACAGGGTTCTGTTAGATAAATATATAGATTTAATCTATCTTAAAACATTTCCGTTAAATTAATAGAAGATAGAAGGTATAAGAAAATGTATAATTGTGTAGAACTTTATTTATTTGAAACGTTATCGACAAAAACTTATTTGCTTCCAAAGAATAAACGTTATAATTGTAATATTTCTTTAACAGCTTTATTTGATTAATATAGTAATTTTATATTATTATTTCGTTTTTATTTTAATTTAAATAATTATATCCTATTTTATTTATAGCCATACTTAATTATAATTAAATTAATTAAAAATTTATTTTATTTTAATGACAAAGTATTGTTATTAAGTCGCTAAAATAACATGGATATCTTAAATTTTAAAAAATAAAAACTAAAAAATTTTTAATGTATATTATCTATATATATTAACTATCTATTTATATCTAAATATTTAGAAACAAATTATAATAGAAAATTTATTGACTGTGTGAGATTTATTTTCCAAATTAAATAATTTTTTTTATAAAATATTTTGTAAAATAAAAACACTCTTGTAAATTTCATTATACTTGTTATATTACTTAATAATAAATAGCAAATTGTTACTTGCAAATAGATGATTAAAAATACTGAATATTTTCGTACTCTAAAGACAATTAAATCAGTTATAATATATCAATAGGATAATTTTAATATAAAAATTGTGTAAATAGTAATTAATTTTTTATTATAAAATATTAAATTTTATAAGTTTAAAATATAACAAATATTTTAAACAATAAATAATTTTTATATTATAAAGAAATGAATATTTAGATTTAACTAAATCTTATAATTATATTGATAATTATATTATCAATAAAAAAATATTATATTGTTTTAAAAATTTCATTGATTTTAATGTACATATAACTACAATTACAATATTAAATTAAAAAAGTGTAATATTAGACAACGAAATATATTACTTTATACAATAATAATTTTGAATAAAATTTAATAAAAATTAAATATATTTTTCAAAAAAGTTGGGGAGAAATACGTTGTTAAATATTATTAAATAAGTTTTTCTCTGTTGACGATATATTAATCTCTCTTACATGTACAAATATACATAGTGTTTCCTATATACAAACATGTACAGCGTGCAACACACTTCACTATAGTTACTTTGCACTCATAATTGTACACGACTTATGGTATATATATCATTTTATGCTCTTAATTTCAGCAGTTATTATCGCATAACGATATAATTATAATAATTATAAACAAGCGTTGCTTATCACAAATTTGTTGTATCTTAATTAAGCTACGCAGTTGTAATACACCATTTTGTTATTACTAATTTTTTATAATTATTATAATTACAACATTATTTTATTAATTATAATACAGAATGCATTTCGCAACATGTCGATTAATATATAATATATATTAATTCTCATCGCGCTTTTTGACAGTAACATAATTTTTGTTCTTTTTTTTATCTAAACTTTAAATCTCTTTATTTTTTCTATCTTTAAATCTCTTTTATTTTTTTTTAACCATTAAATTTCTCTGAAGTTTTGACCATAATTATTTTGAAAAGCTCGTTTTCAAAAATCGAAAAATGAATAGATGATAAGTCTAATAATGATATAATAATTTAATAAAACTTTTATTTTAAATAGCTTATATTCCGAAATGGATAAAAAAATTAGCCAACCTAGTATATAACAACTTAGTGAGCTTCAAATCTATTTTGAGAAACTTTATTAAAATCTTTATTTAAAAAATATACAGTCGATTTAATAGCGTAATCAAATATAAGAATGATCTAAATATGGATTACGTGCATTTTTAAAACTTTCAGCGCTCTCGTTGTTGTTGTTGTTATTGTTGTTGCTGTTATTGTTGTTGCTGCTGTTGTTGCTAGCAACCGTGCCAGTGTCCTGATTAGGATTGTTAGTAGCGCGATTAGAGCTTATAGCAGAAAGAAGAAGCCGGGGGCCACAGGCTCGGATTGGATGAGTAGCAACGAGACAGTCAACTATCTGTCTTACAGTAGGCATGCAGGTTTTGTTGTATCCTGGAAAACACACGTCACATGCTCCATCAGAACTGAAAAACACATACCAGCTGCTATCACGTTATCTTGGGTTTTAAGTCTTTAGTTTAAAATACTGGAATGGTCTACTAAAATAAATTACAATCGCGTCATTTGAAACTTATCTCAAGAACTCAAGAAATTTGTCTCAAGTGAGAAACTTAAAAGATGTCACTAGAACTACATATAAGTATGTCACTTAGAGTGACATACCGAACGATATAATATCCGATTTTAAAATTATAAAATAATATTATAAAAAATATTGCAAAATAAATACTAGAATGCTGAATTACTAAAATAATTATACACATCGCGAATAATTTGTAAATCGTAAAAAAAAACATTTCGCAAAATTAAAGCATATGTTGGCAAAAGAAATTATTACATTTCGATAGAATATGTCGAACATTCAATTGTTAGAAAACAATTTATGAGAGTGTTGTGATAAATTAAAATTTTCGAAATGCAATTTTTCTTGTGCAACAATTCAATATACATATAACTCCCCCCCCCAAAAAAAACGGATGAGCATCTGGTTAATGTTACAACAAAATCTATAAATCATCATCTGATCCCAAAAACGTAGTAAACGTTTACGGGAACGAACAGCAGGGTCACATCGCATGCGTATTTTTGCATTGAACAGAGGGGCGAACAAAACATAAAAATAAGTATGGACAGGGAGAAGTCGTAAGTCATCAAAGAAAATAGTTGAAAATCTAAGCATCGCATCCGATGTAATGGAAGTCTCTTTGAGATAATCTTGCGGCTTGTCTCTTTGAGACAGTCAGGCACGGTTTGTTAACGATACATGATCATATAAATTCTTTGGAACTCGATGTCGGTGATTTGCTCTATTTTTCTTGTTGTTCTTGATAACCAAAAAAATTTAAAGAGATCAGTCAAGAAGATTCGTTAGTTTTTATTTTTTGTTTTATCTTTTCGTTTTAGTTTTCTCTTAAATCTGTTCTTGGATACTTTTGATACAGTAATCAACATGGGATCAAACCCGAAAAGCATCAAACAAATATTATAGATAATTTCACGTTAAATTCTTCAAAAGTGGAATTTCTCAAAAATGGAAAATCGAAGTGGAGATTATATATCATCATTGAACAGATGCCTCAAGCGATAAAGACGCACAACATCATGCAATAAAAGTAGAAGGGGTTCAAAGGGGTTCTCGTAAAGTCTGTAAATACATATCAACAGCAGATTAGCATTCCAAATATTTAGTAATAGCGTATAACAGTATAGAACTGCACAACTGGCTTGCCCGCAGAGCGGACAGCTATGGACAACCGCAAATAGCGTTCGCGACGCGGACAACAATTTGGTGATGTCGCCCGAATTCAGCGAGTTATGCAACTCTGGTGTGTAAAGGGCCTAAAAAAGGATTACAAAACGTCTAACATGATAAGCGAACAATCTATGAGAGGGAAAGAATAGCGGGCAATAGCGCGCGAAGAAATCTTTAGACGACAATCTATCAATCTTTTTCACAAGCTAATGATGACAACTAATTGTCTAACTGACGAACTACTGACAGCATTAAGTTTCTTGTAAAAAAATCCTTCATCGTACTTATAAGACACAAGCTAATAATAGAAAAGATCCTATTGATAAAATACTGACATACAAGATTCGTACATACAATTAAAACCAAGAAAAATATGCTATTTTGAAAGCACGCGACATATTTCTTCGTTATAGTTTTATAATAATACTTGCCTCCGCATTCACATGCAACAATAAATAATAAACATACAGATACATGTACAAAGTTAAAAATTACATAAAACTTATTAGCAATTATCTTGCCGTAATTTATATACTCTTTCATAATTTTTCGGCACCTCTCGTATATTTTCTTTCGCATATGGAATGTCGAAAAAACATGAAAATCGATGGAAGAGAAATAGATTCCTTGTCAAATTTAAGATCTGCTTCTTATTGACAAAAATGTCGATATCATATTTGGCATATCCGATATGGCATATCTTCTTAATTTTCAATATTAATTAAATAATTAAAATATAATGAATAATATCAAGTTTATATATCAAATACACGATGGAAAAACTTGAATTGTGCTGACCAAATACTAAGTACTTTCTTGGAAGAATCCACCTGGAAGAAAGAACATAGCTAAAAAATAATAATTTAGTCATTTTTCAGAATACTGTATAAATTTGAAGTAAAGCGTCATCTTTAGATCGATGTATCGTTTTGTCACTTACAGCTATAATTGTTCTGTGCAATATTGACTGTAATATTACCAGAGGATTGTCTTGTATCATTTTGCGAGTCTTGAATAAATCATCCAACAATTTCCCGATCGTTTATCGAGATCGAGAATAACAACTTTTCTGTCCTTGGTCCTTCCTACCGATACCGAGCTATTGATTAAAGTATTACAATAATTATAACACAGCTATCACAATAATTACATAATACTGTAACGGCGTAAATATTTATGCAAAGCCGAGATGCCAAAGCGTAATAGCGAACTTACGCTTCGCTTTATTATTTGTGTAATAATTAATTCGCTCATTTTTTTTCTTAAATTAATTATTAAATATATGTGTTAAATGACTGTTAAGATTTTCACTTTGATCGTCAATTAATTACAAATATGTCAATCGATTAATGAATTAATACCAAAATTTGTCTCGCAACTTTTTCGTCGAAAATACATATGTCATAAAGTATATTCAATTATGCAAAATGTTTCAGAATAATAAGCAAAAATTTATAACTAGTTAGTAAAATTCACAAAAATAAAAAAAGCTTTTAATAATTTTGTAAATTCTGTTAACTGTCATGTTCATTCGGCATATATAATATATATTTGCATATAATTATGTTATTTCGCGTTTGGAAAGTTTTATCGGTCTTTAACAAGGTAATTATATGTGCGCAGAAGTACTCGTGTTTTTAAAAAGCGATGAAACTTTCGCAATAACCAAATACATTGTTCAATGTATCCTTGAATTTTTATACTGCTCTGCATATATATGTTTCATAGACTCTCTAAATCGCTATAGATAAATTTCGCACATTTCTCTCAATATTTATTCATCCGGTTCGCGTATTTTTCTTTCTATAAACACTGTCGCTACACATATATATTACTTGGCACGAGACGTTAACGTGTCCTTTGATTCGCACATCGAATTTCTCAGATAAATTCTAATATTCTAGCCGCTCAAAATACTTGATCGTTTCGCATAAACGAATCGTTTACGAATATTTGTCTAGTTTCGATTATAAAGCGGTCTCTTTCTCGCTGATAATCTTGATTCCGTGCTGTGTGAGGATCATCTTCACCTCCTCCTTGTCTCGCATATTTGGTTTCTGGCTCGATTCTTCAGCTTCGCTCTCCTTACTCAGATTTTTCGCCGGCAGGGTCAGATTGTCGCTCGACACATTCAGGCGACCGACATCAGCCGATCTCTGCAGAGACTTGGACTTGGTCGAATCATCCGATATCTGCAGATTATCGGCAGATCCGATTAGCGTTGCGTTTTTCGTAATCTTGAGCGCTTTGTCGCCCGCCTTCGGAGACATTTTCGCCACTTGCAGACTATCCACTGAGGAATATCGTCTGTTATCGCGTACACTTCTGTTGAAATCCTCCTTCTTTCTGAACAAGGAGCCCTTGCGACCGACTTTTCTGGTCCCGCATGTTAGGATGGCGATTTCATCTTTGGGAATAAAATACAATTCTCGCGGCTGGTCTCTGACCATTGAAGAACCGTGAATAAAAAGGGACTGGGACTTCGGTCTTCCGGAATCTTTCTCCTTCTCGGCGATTTTACCCCGATCGTCAGCCGATTCAGTACCGCTCTGAAAACCGCAGTTCTCGATCTCGAAACTTTCGTCGTCGTCGCGATGCGGCTCGACGACCTTGAAGCCGCCGTACCTGTCCGCCGATAGAGCGGAATCCTGATCGTAACTGCCGTCCACCTCCCCGCAGATTCTGCAGAGCTCGCAGGGAATCTCTTCAACCTTGCTTTGAAGATCGTCCGCGGATTCCTGCAGATTGAGCGTGCCGCATATATCGCACTCGATCGACTCGTCGTCGTCGGCCAATGAGCTGCAGGTCGACCTGAGAGTGTAAAACGTCTCCTGATTCGGACTGCTCACCTCTTCCTCCGTCCGGAAGGTAATGTCATTCATATAGCAACAGATCGAGCAGAACTCGTCTGGGATATCGAGTTGCGACGTGCTGCTGTTCGCCTTCGATGACGGCACGCCGAGGAAAACTTCCTGAATGCGCTTGATCGACTCGTAGCTCTTCGACTTCTTCGAGAACGCGTCGTCTTTCTTCGGTTTTTGTATAGACGCTTCTTCAGACACAATCATCGAATCTAAGCTGCCTTGAAGAGGCATGTTGTAACGCCGCACCTTTCTCGTGTACACATCCTTGATCTCGTTGAAATCGCATTTCGTTCTATTGTCAGCATTTTTCGTCGTTTTCGTCGCTTCGTGTCCTTGCGCTTTGTCATCATTCAATCTCACGGTCTTTTGATCTTGAATCTTCGGGCTCTTCATGGAAGATGTTCTTGAAGAATGCTGAGCAGGTTCGTCGAAGGATCGAGACGTCTCTCGGTTATCAGCCGATCGATTTTGCTTCTTTGATTCGCTCTTCTCGGAGCCTTTTTTCGAACTTCCCGTTTTTGAAAATTTCTTCGTAGTGTTCTGGAAGACTTTCTCGAGTTGAGAAATAACACGATCGTTGATAGATCTATCATAGTCTTTCATCTCGCTCCTATAAAGAATTTGACTTTTCTTGCCTTTTTTCGGGCTCTTTGTGCTTGCCGATCTTGAAGATCTATGGGATGCTTTTTCAGATCGAGATGTCTCTTGATCGCTAATGGCTTTATCTTGATTCTTGAACTCACTCTCGCCAGTTTGAAGCTCTTCGATTTTTCTGGAACTCTTCGTCTTCATGGAAGTCGATCTTGAAATGGGCCTTGAAGAACTTTGGAAGACTTTCTCCGCGCGAAATATTTCTCGATCGTTAATGGAATTATCTTGATCTTTGAATTCGCGCTCGCTTCCGTCGAGCTCTTTAACTTTTCTAGAACTCTTCATCTTCATGGAGGTCGATCTTGAAGAGCCTTGGGAGACTTTTTCCGTACGAGATGCTTCTCGATCGTTGGCAGTTTGAGCCTTCTTCACAATATCAATATCTACATTACAAATTTCTTCCTTCTTGATCATTTCGAGACTCTTCGTCTTCATGAAAGAACTTGGGAATGGCTGTTTATCGTCGACGATTCGGTGCTGCTTCTTGATTTCGACATCGCAAATCTGATCTTCTCTGATCTTTCTCGGACTCTTGCGAGCGTTCACGATCGACTTCAGGTACTTACCATCTATCTCGAGGCTCGAATCGTAAGATCCTGTCCGCAAAGAACGCTGATCAAACGCTGATTCTCTCTCCGTTCTCTCGCCGCTTAAAATATTGATTTTACTATCTGCTTCTGCCTCTAAAGGTAACCTTTCCACGATGAACTTTGATCGGTCTAGTTCTTCAGAATACTTTGCACGATTATCGATTTCTCCGGGGATGAAACATTCAGATTCTCCCTCGTGGCTCTTGTGAATCATCGCGCTAACCAATACTTGACTTTTATATAATTGAGCGTCGCTCTTTTTGCTACTAATCTCGCTATCATTTACAAAATCATCTACGTCGTCTAATGTATCGTCTCTTTCGTCAGCATGTTTCGATAATTTTCTAGCGGTATGCGTAGATTTTTCCTCGACTTTTTCATTCCCGTTCAAACCGTATTGAGTAAGCCGATAGTCTTCTTTATCCACGCCAAAATCAGAGAGAGCACACTCATGACGACCGTCAAGCGGCGGTGACAAAGTCGTCGTTTTGACTTCTAGATGTCTGACTTTATCCAACTCGAAATTGGTTGTTTCCTTTTTAGAATTGGCATCTATATCGCCGATTTCAACGTCATGCTTCATAATACTTTCTGAACTAAGTTTAGTTTGTTCCGTATCGTTTTTATCTATCTTAATCGGTTCTACATTGTCTTTATATCTACTTTTTCGATCTTCATTCAACGCAATTATACTACGATTGGAGTGAGCAGGTTGAATCTTGACGACACCGTCAGCATCTAATTCTATATTAACTACTTCTTTCTTAATATTAACCTCTTTGTCAATTTTCTCTTTTCCGACGCTTTTTACATTCAATCCAGAACTGATCTCTGAGGCAGCTTTGCTAAAACTAAATTGATCCGAATTTATTTCATTACCAATCGCTTCTACCGATCTACGTTTTTCTTTCGGCGCAAGCGTACTTTTCTGATCTAAACCTAACTGTATGTCGATTATTTCCGTCTCAGAAATTACCTTTCGATCACAAACTTCTATCTTATCATTCGCAGTGTTTTCTCTTGTCGGCCAACAACATTCTCCCAATCGAAGCTCGCCGGAATTCGAGTAACTAGATTGAATCTCGCGACTGTTGTTCAAAATTAAATCTACATCAACAATCTCCGTTTTAGACCTCAAATCGGATATTTCTCTCTGCCCAATGTCAGTTTTACCTTTTATCAAACTTTCTGTCGATGACTTACGAGCTTGTTTCGGCTCGCTAGAAGAATTGGGTTGCACCTTCAATATTATCTTGCGATCGTCGGGCAAACCTAAATCTATGTCAGTAATTTGCGTCTTGATTTTCGAGTCTAAGGCTTCCCTCTGTTCAATTTTACTCTTTGCACCTCCGATTGTTAAATTACCACCCTCTTTTAACGCCAAATCACTAGAATTCGAAGAGCCAGGTTGGATCTTCACTATTACTTCGCGATCGGTATGCAAACCTAAATCTACCTCAGCAATTTCCGCATCGGAAATCTTAAAACTGGAATCCGAAACTTCCCTCTGTCCAATCTCAGTTTTACCCTTCGCATCGCCGTCTATCGTCGGCTTATGACCTTCCCCCGACGAAGGACCGAGCTGTAACTTCGCCGTCGGCTCATCGAGCGGACCTACCTCGTCTACGATTCGCAAGACGCCGGTTTTGCTGGCGATGACCTGTTTCGCTTGACCAGGATACGCGGCTCTAGCTACGTGCTTGACATTACCATTGTCGACGTTACCGCCGATCACGCTATTAATGAACTGCTCGCGGGCCTCGTCGAGCCCGCTTGCATTCTGCATATTTTTACGCAGCACAACCGCATCCGGCACATCGATGGACGCAACGATCTCGACCGGGCTCGGCGAGTCCATGGTCACATCAGTGGGCGACGGTGTTAGGAACGCGGTTAAGTATCGGGGATCTATGTGCAGATAATTATTCGAAATCGGCGATGGCAGTTCCAACTTACTTCAGTGTCCAATTAGCAATAGCAGCGTGAAAAACAAGACGATTTTTTATAGGATTTTATTGCTCTCACTTAATCATAGTACTTCTGAACATAATTAGTCGCGTGAGCTCGTTACGACCCCGTTATATTTCTATATTCGTACTTGTGAATTATCAGATTGTGAACAAAATATTTTAAAAATGTAATATCTTTCAATACATTTCACATATGTATAAAAATTTAATAAATATCGATAATTGTAAATAGTCTTTGTTTTAATTCCAATTAAGTCCAATTTTATTCATATTTAAATTTTTTTACTGTCATCATGCATTACTTATACATCATGCAATAAATAAAATATATGGGAATAAATAGAGTTGCTACGATCTCACAACTGTTGGAATTAATGACGAAGGAAGGAAATATGTATACTCCAAATTCATCATTTAATATTAATAATTCCATTTTCAATAATTCTTTTCACTGATATTTTTTTCAGTGAAAAGAATGATTGAAAATGGAATTATTAATATTAAATGATGAATTAATCTTGGCAAATACCATAAACTCTATTAAGTTTTTGATACAATAAAGTTTATTTCTTTTAATTTAACAAAATTAAAAATTATGTAAGGAATTATGAGGAAAGAATTATATAAAGAAATATTTTTGCGTTTAAACTACTTTATATGTAAGGCCGTATTTTTTCCGTTTACTATTAATTGCAGCAACATTTACTGCTATAAAATTTAAAAGATTCCATGGTATTTGCTAATAATTAAGTACATATTACTAATGCTATTATATTAAACCTGTAAAAATAATCTTACATTCTATCGAGTATCATTCGTATTATCAAAAAAAAACGCAGATAAAAAAAGAAATACATAAAATATAATAATTTATAAAATTTTATACATTTAAAAAATTATTTTAAAAAATTATCACAATTTATTATACATTAATTAAATTAAAACAAAGATCTTAAATATTTCAAATAAAAAATGACACAAAAATCTAATGCGCAAAAAAATTTATTGAATATAAAAGGCACGTCTAAATGAAGTTCTCAAAATAAGTATATTCAAGAGAAATCTTTTTATAAAATATTATACATCTAAATTAATTACAATAAACATAATAATGTAATTTTCTTTACTAAACATTGTATATTTCGACAGAAGATAAGAAGATTAAATTAAAGAATATTGTACAGCAAAAATTCTGTCGAAATTTAGCAATTATACGCATTTAAATTATATATATATATATATATATATAATTGTGTGTATACATACATATACACACACAATCTTTTTAAATATCACATCTTTGTATTCAAAAAAAATTCATTCATTGTCATAAAAAAACAGATACTTAAACATAACATTCGAGACTCACATTGTGGTGTCTGGCACTCTCGCATCATAGATTTCATGTTTATAGATGTAATCGATAACGGAATCCTGCAGCAGGTATCTGACACTCTCACTGCGCTTCAGAGCTCGCCTGATTCTTGTTGAACTAACTTCGTTTGGAATCCACTCGGTGACAATACAGATATTGTGCTGGGGAAAGACAAAGATAGCAAAATAAATTTTACAATCAAAAATTTGATGTCTTAATAAAATATGTTGTGAGACACAAGTATGCATAATATAACAAGATTTTTAATTTATATATTTTATTACACTTACCATATGCTTGGACAGAATGTCCGAATCATAGATAAATTTATTGGGATTGGAACCTTCTCTGGTGATAACTACGAGACCATGTTCGCCAACAATTGTGTCAATCTTCAACAGAAAGATTATGATTCTTTTATTCAAGCTTTATATTAAGTTCTATATTATCAAGTTCTATATTATAGTCCTATATTTATTATTGCAGAAGTTAATTTTACTCCAAAAATTTAAAAAATCATAAACATAACATAATGTTTACTTAATAAAATCTTAATAAAAATTGATTTTATATAATAAAAAATATCCATAGACAAAAATAATCATTTCTATTGTATTTTGCATATATAAAACTCACATCTTCTTCGAGCCAAAGTCCATAAACGCCAAAACTTTCTAAAAGATCTGCACCACACAACAATTTGATTTGTATCGGTGTGTTATCTGAGCTGTTTCTCACATTTTCTGGAATCCATTCTGTATCTTCTATCTGCAAGTGATGTTTGATGTCATTGGAATTGGATAATATGGAATTAAGCAGGTTTTGATGGTGTTGCAAAGACAAACGAGTCTTGGTCCAGCAATTCTGCTTAGTCTCCCATGTACTCAGCCGTATCCAGTCGCTATTCTGCAATGCCAATCGTAGCATAGCACATCTGTGTGTCGCACTAGCCAGTTCCTTTTTGGCATATGCATCGTGTACTGGAGAAATTATTCCACCAACAACAATATGTGTTCCCATTCGATGCAAATGATCTCGAGCAATTTCTGAAAAATGCACAGATAATAAAAAAATTGCTTCTATATTATTATTATTAATTTTTATATTATTTACAGCTTCTACATTATATTACATATATTAATACAGAATTAAAAATTACTGGATGGTTGCATCTATTTATTTATAATTAAGCGTTGGTATATGTGCGCACGTGTTGACGTCTATTTATCTATAATTAGGCGTTAGAGCGTGAAAGTGGAAAATTATAAGACAATATACAAAGTGCAATTGATAAAAACAGATTTCGCATTACGCAAACGCAATGACAACAATCTGCACGCGTGACAATGACGTGACGTCACGCGCGATAACGAAACGTGACGTCCACTGCAACATCCACTGTTCGATAGAAACAGCACTGTTCGGACGAAATGACGACGAATCGATATGTACGTACCGAACATTCGCAGGTGCATGTTGGTCGGCGGGTTATAGCTGCCGCACGACATCAAAATCACACGCGTAGGTGCCATTTTTCGCGATCGCCACTCGCCGCCGCATCGGCGATCAGCCGCGCCTCCACCACCGTCGAATCGACCCAAAACGTCGTTGCAACAAAACGTTAACACGCACGTCTTAAGGTCACGCAGCCCACTAAACGCGTTCACGACAAACGCGCCACATGCCGACCGTCGCCACGTTATATATCTCGGGCATCGTCGGCCGTATGCATCAGCGCACCATCTAGCGCGAACTGCATACCTGACTGATCATTAGTCGATATTTCAATATTTTTTAATTAATTTGAAAAAAATGTATCCGTACAACCGATGGACAACAGGTTTATGACTAGAATAACATCAATCCGCTAAACTACATTAATTCTTTTAATTACCGCTCACAGAATAGTAGTCAAACATTTTAATTTTAACTCTAAACTCTTTAGAAAAATACCAATGAATCAAAATACAATAAAATTTCAAAATAGAAATATATATTTTTTGTAGAAGAAAATTATTTGTTAAAGTAAGAAAAGTAAAAAATATTTTTAAGCAACTGAAAACAATTTAAATATTACATTCTGAAGGTTAAATAAAAATCTTTCACAATCGATTATTCGATTGTCGATTCTTCAATATTGTCCATCTTTACTAATAAACAACGTTAAAAAATTGACATTAATCTTACTTGACATTTGAAGTCATTTCCTTCCTGGTGGATATATGGTGGATATCATTTTCTGCTCGTCAAGAATTTTCCATGTCATTTATTTGATGTTGTTAGAAATAGCAGACGTTGATACGGTTTTGTTTAACTCATTCATATATTTTGAAATAGAATCTATCTTTTGTAAAAAATTTAATTCTAAAATTTATTTAACCATTAAATTATTATATTGTCATTTTGTAATTATTTTGTATATATCTATTTTTATATTATTTTTTTCTATTTTTGTTTTTTTCCACTGAGCTTATATATA